TCCGCCGTGCAGGCCGGCCAGCGTCCGGGCGCCGACGCGCTGCCGGTCGCCGTGCAGGACCTGGTGCGAGCCGCCTGGCAGGCGGACCCCGCCATGCGGCCCCATGCGGCCATCCTGCGCCAGCAGTGCGCCGCACTCTTTGTGACTGCCGGTGGCCTGGGCATCTCGCTGTGAGCCCTCCGGCTGGCATATGTCATGGACGCTCTCCCCAGCGGGCCCTGTCGAATTGAGTTTCCCGCCCCCGTGCTTTTGGCCTTTGTTTGCTCTTTCTTTGTGGATGGCCAGCTGTTCTGGCGCCCTGTGGATGCCTGGCGAGCATGAGTCGGGCCCACCAGGGCGGCCTGGGGGCACAGCTGTGTGAGTCGCGGTCCCTGGCCTCGGGGGAGGCTGCCCGGCCATGGGCGGACGAATGCATGTGTCTCGATGCGGGGCCCATGACGATGGTCCATGCAGGGGCCCCTTTGTGCCTGGCTGCCGGTCGCCCAGGCATGTGTCCACGGGCCCGGGCCTGGCGCCGAGCAAAAGCCGGGATTGTTCACCCAGAGGCCCAAGGCGATGTCCTTGGGAGAGGCTACCCTGCCAATGGGGTCATATCTGTATGTATGTGTATGTATGTGTATGTATGTGTGTGGTACGTGTGGTGTGTGTGGTGTGTGTGGTGTGTGTGAATGCATCTGTGTGTGTGAATGTATCTGCATGTATGTACGTGTATGTATGTGTTTGTACTCATGCATGTGAATGTATGTGTATGTATGTGTATGTACTCATGCATGTGAATGTATGTGTATGTATGTATGTATGTATGTGTATGGCAGAGGGGCGCATGGGGGGTGTGGATGCCCTTGACCCGGCATCCATGGGGAGCCCGCGAGCCGGCGGCTGGCGCAGGCCGCCCTGCGATGGCCGGGGCGGTGCTTTCATCTGCGCGGCCATGCGTGTCACCGGCTCGCAGGGGCAGGCACCACAGGCTAGCGGGATCCTCCAGGCGATGGTGCTGAGGCCGGGGAGGGGGTTCGGCAATGGCCACCGGCATCGCGCGCGCCCGCGCACGGCCCCCCCTTTTGCGGCCTGGCGCTGCGCCGCACAAGACCCCGTCTGCTTGGCCTCGACCCCACCAACAGGTGGTCCCAGAGCCAGAGTTCCCTACGCGTCTATCTCTCCCTCCGGTTGGTTTCACCCAATCGCCCCCATGGGCGAGCATGCCCAGACGCTCTCCGGCCCCGCGCCCCTTCTGCTCCCGGCCCTTGGACCGCAGGCAGACATGCAACCCGGCGAGGAGGAGGCCGGCAAAGGGCCGATCGTCGGCCAGCCGCGCAGCGGTCCGGCATATCGCCGACCGACCGGCAAGCGGCCGGCCTCCCAGGCAGATACCCGCTTCCCGTGGCGGCTGCCAGCCATGCGGTCCTCCCCCACATCCAGGCTGCCGGGGCGGGCCCCGGTGCCGCGGGGCGAATCCTGCGGAAAGCCCCGCCCTCTGCTGGCCAGCCCGTGGGCCTCGCCCGAAAAAGTGTCCCCCTTCCTCGGCTCCGGAAGCGTGCGTGCCCCTGTCGCCTCGGCCGGGGCGTCGGTCTGGCATCCGGGTTTTTTTTTTTTTTCCGCACTCCGAGGGCGGCCCGGCCCAGCTTGCCAGGAGCCGGCGACCGCGCGGGCGCGTGCGCCCGGCCCCGGCCCTGGACCCGTCCCCATGGCGGATGCGCCTCCGGGGCCACTCCAGGCATGGTTCGCGCCATCGCGGATGGTCGACTTCCGCGCGCGCGCGCGCGCGCGCCGCCATTGCGGCTCCCCGCGGGCGCGCAGCGCCTCCAGCAGCCCCGGACCCGAGTTAAGGGCCTCGGCTCCATTAAGCCGGTCCCGGGAGCGCGCGCGCCCTCGGCCCCGGGGGGTCGCGGCCGCGCCATGTCCCACCGGACGGAGTCGCCATCGAGTGCTCCATAAAAGGGGCTCGGCCGGCCTCAGCTGAAGCCCGGCGTCCTCATGTCCCCGGAAATGACCCTGCTCAAGGGGGGGGGGGACTGTGAGCCGGGGCGCGGTCCGACCGGGTTCCATGTGAGGCGCCCGGCGGCCGAGAGGGGTGTGAAGAAGGACCGGACGCCGTGGCGCGCGCGTGTGCGTCGTGTGTGCGTCCGGCCCGGGCCTTTTTTATTTGTCCCACCACCGTGGCGGCGGTGTCCCGCCGGTTTCGGCACCAAAAAAGGCCCCTCCCCCCCCCCCCCCCTTCCCTGCCTACCTGCCAGCCTGCTCTCCCCTCCTCGCGTGGCCCTGCCTCGCCTCGCGGCCTTCTTCACGGCCATCCTCATGGAATGCGGGCCCCTGTGCGCCCCGCTGGACCACGGCGCCGGGGGCCCCTCCTGTCGCCATGCGCCTGGCTCGGGCTGCTCGTGGCGCTGGTGACGCTGCTGCTCGCGGCGCCGGCCTCGAGCGCCGACGAGATGCTCCTCTATGCCGGACCCCTGCGCATGCAATTTTCCGACTCCATCATCGGATACTTTACTCCCTTTCGGTCGCCATCATTTGCTGTCGTGCATCAAATGCAGGGCATCCTGCACACCGTCTGGCAGGACAAGCTCGACCCTATGGACGTCGACTACCGTTGGGGGGGCTTCTTCTCGGACGTCCTGAGGGACTACTTGCGGACGGCGCGCGGCATTGCCGGCCTCGGGCCCGGCACCCGGCTCCTGATCCTGCCCAACCCGGTGGAGGTCACCCTGCCGACGGTGATCGAACTTTCGGCCAGGGAGGTTGCCCTGCAAAGTTCCCCGCATGTGGCCCTGCTCCCGAGCCCCGGGCGGACCAAATACCTGGCGGCCTTGGCCACCTCGAAGGATGCCGCCGACATGCTTGTCGAAGCGACCCTCCTCACGGGCCAGCCGCCGGAGTACTTCCTCCTGCACTTGACGCACTCGTCGCCGGTGGCGACCCGGGCCCTGGGCAGGCTGGACCACCTGGGCGGCGGTTCGCTGCTGGCGACCCCGGCGTTCGAGGGGGGTTTTTTCTTTGTCAAAGGCACCCGCATCGGCCGGATAAACGCCCTCACGGGCGCCGTGACGGCCTTGTCGGTGGTCCTGCCGGCGCCGGCCGTGGAGGTGCTTGCCACGCGCCTGCTGACCGACCAGGCCTCCTGCCCGGAGGCGGACCTGATCGTCGTGCTGGACGACGGGACCCTCATGGTGCTGCTTTGCGTCAACTCGGTCATCCCGGAAGCCCCCCCGATCGCGTCGCATGCCCTCGCGCTGCCCGGCCGCACCGGCACCGGCACCGGCCGGCTGCTCAATCCCGGGCTGCCCTCCATCGGCCAGGATCGCCTGCCCTTCGTGTACTACATGTGGGAGTCGGCCGAAGCCGGGGCCAGCCTCTGGCGCATGGACCTCCGGCTTTCGCCGCTGGCCTGGACCAAGGTCACCCTGCCGGCGGTGGTGCCGGCATCCGGCATCCTGGACCAGGCGCACCTGCTGCGCCTGTATGCCGAGGGCCTCCAGGACCGGTGGGCCGTGGTCGTCAACCATGTGGCCCTCCTGGAGGCCGAGGACTTTGGCTGCTCCACCGACCCGACGATCTCCTGCGCGGGCCCCAACGGCCCGAATGGCACCCAACTGGGCTGGACCTGCAGGCTCGGCCACACGGAATCGCCCTACTCCGAGGTCGGGCGCCTGTGCTCCGGGTGTCTGGATGGATTCTACCCCGATGAGGCAGTCTGTGCGTGGGGGCCCCCCCTCCCTGGCTTCCTGTCCATGCGCGCGCCGACCTGCCGGTTGTCCTTTTGCTGACCATGCGTGGGCGGTGGTTGGCTGGCTGGCTGACCTTTCTTTTTTCTCCCCCCGCCCCCCCGCCTGCCCCCCCTGGGGCTGTGTTTCGACCGGGTGCCTGGGCTCGTGCGCCGGGCGCATTCCAGCCACGCGCCCCTGCGCCCCCTGCCCGCCTGGGTGCCTGGGCTGCGGAGGCGGCAGTTGCCTCCTCTGCGAGGAGTCCCTCCTGTTGGAGCCCTCGGGCCCGGGGCAGGAGGCCCGATGCGTGGCCGCCTGCTCGGCCGGCTTCCAGCGCGTGGCCAAGGGCTGCCTGCCGGACGAGCGCCCCGCTCGGGCTGAGGTGGCCCTGCCGGCCACGCTGGTGGCCATCCAGCAGCCGGACGCGGTGTCCGCCCTTGGCGAAACCCACCTGGCCATTTGCGACGACGGGAAGCTGTGTCTCCCGGAGCCGGTGGAGATCAAGCCCTTCGCCCCGCGCCGGGGTCTGCTGCTGACCGACCAGCACAATGGGATCTTCCTGGCCCGGAGCCAGGATGCCAGCCAGGCCGATGTCCTGAGCCCGGTGCAGATCGAGCTGACGGTGCCCGGGACGCTGTTCGAACGGCCGACGCAAGCCGTCATCGAAGTGGGCCCCTTCTTCGGGGCGTCCGGCGCGAAGCTGGCCCTGGTCTTCTGCCGGGGCCCGGAGCGTTTGTGGATGCTGCATGTGTCCTGCCCGAACTTCACCAGTGGCTCGCCCAATGCCTGGGGCCCCTTCGTGGCGGAGCACTACATTCCCCTGGCCGAGGCGATGCCCGGCTGCCAGACCCTTCGCCGGCTGGACGCGCACACCGTGGTCATCCACCATGACGTGGCCGGCGGCGGGCTGCTGACCATCAACGAGGACTTGTCCCACTCGTACGACGGCCTCGGCGCATCCGAGGTGGTACACCTGCCTGGCCCGGAGGCCGTGCCGTCGGCCGGCTGGCCCCGGGACCCGGGGTGGGTTTTCCTCCTGGAGCCGGGCAACATGGCCACCCTCTACCCCCGGGGGATGCATGCGCTCGGCAACCTGGCGCAGCACATCCGAGGCAAGGCCCTGGCCCGGCGGGACCCCTGGCACCCGTGGACGCGGACGCTGCTGCTGAGCACGTCCGTCCCGCACGCCCGCGGGCGCCAGGCCTTCGAGCTGGCCCTCGTGCGGTTCCAGGCCGGTCTCTGGGAGGCGGCCCTGCTGCCCGGCGGCATGCTGATGCATGGCCGGACGTGGGAGCTGCCGGTGTCGGGCCAGGTGCTGGCCCGGGTGCCGGGCACCGTGGCCCCGGCCCCGGTAGATGTGTCCCTCCTGGCGGTGGACTTCCTGCCCGGGACCGAGCACCCCTCCGGCTTGGTGCTGCTGGCCCCGAGGCTGGTGGGCCTGGCGCTCCTCCGGTGCCCGGCCACCGGGGGGGCCTGCTTCCTCCTGCCGGGGCGCCTGGCCCCGGTGTCGTTGGATTGGCTCGGGTCCGCCAGCGTGGCCCTGCTCCCGGGCGGCCCGGCTCCCGGCGATGTGCTGTCCCTGCTGGCCGTGGCCCCGAGCTCAAGCCCCCTGTCGGGGGTCTACCGGTTGGCATTCCAGTCAACCTGCCCGGAGTCCACCTTCGGCCCGGAGTGCCGCGCATGCGATCCCCTTTGCCGGGAGTGCACCGGGCCCGGGCCGGGGGACTGCACCGCATGCTGGGCCTGGAATGGCTCCAGCCCGGGCGTGTGTCTGCCCGGCTGCCCCGGCGGCCAGTACCCCAGCACGGACGGCCTGTGTGGCTGCCACGCCACGTGCACCGTGTGTCGCACACCCAGCGACCAAAGCAACACCTGCGAGGTGTGCAACCCCGGCTTCGCCCCCCTGCCCCAGGGCCTGGAGGGGCACCGGTGCTTCGCGTGCGACAGCACCTGCGCCGAGTGCACGGCGCCGCAGGACCCGGGCGCCTGCTCGCGCTGCCCGGCCGGCATGTGGCTCCATGCCGGGGCATGCCTCGGCCACTGCCCGAGTGGCACCTGGCCCGATGCCAGTGACAATACCTGCCAAGCGTGCGTGCCCGGCTGCGGGCTGTGCAGCTCGAGCACGACCTGCTCCCAATGCATGCCGTCCTACTTCATGGCCCAGGAGCCGGGGCAGCCGGCCGGCCAGCTCCACTGCATGAAGTGCCATCCGACGTGCGCATTCTGCGTCAAGGCCGAGAGCTGCACCGCCTGCCGGTCGAACATGGTCTTCCTGGACCCGGACCCGACGAAGCCCTCCTTTTGTGGCTCGAGCTGCGCGCCCGGGGAATTCCGCCGCATGGGCCGGTGCGCCGTATGCGCCGAGTCCTGTGCCCTGTGCACCGGCGAGGCCGACCACTGCGACGTGTGTGCCGAGGGCCACTTCCGGCCGGACCCCGCGTCCCCGAAGTGTGCCCCTTGCCCGGCCGGGTGTGCCTCCTGCACCGGCACCCGGTGCCTGGCCTGCGTGCCGGGGCTCTTCCTCGACCGGCAGCTGGGGGGCCGGTGCGTGGCCGCCTGCCCGGCCGGCATGTATGCCGATGTCGAAACGTGCCAGCCGTGCGACGTCACCTGCCTGACGTGTGCCGGGCCCGGGCCCGGGCTCTGCACCGGCTGTGCCGAGGGCCTGCAATTGGCCCGGCTGGGGGCCGACTTCGGGGCATGCGAGTCCGCCTGCCCGGAGGGGCGGTTCTGGCCCGCGGCCGGGGGCAGCTGCCTGCCCTGCGACCGGGCCTGCGCCACGTGCATCGGCCCGAGCGATCGCGACTGCTGGCGCTGCTCCGGCTCGGATGTCCTGCAAGATGGCCAGTGCATGCAGGAGTGCGCCTCGGGCCATGTGGCCGTTGGCGGCCGGTGCCTGCCCTGCCATCCCTCGTGCCAGGCGTGCGCCGGGGTCCGGTCGACCGAGTGCCTGCCGGCCTGCCCGGGGGATCTGCTGGCCCTGCCGGCCGGCCAGTCGCCGATGCGCTGCGTGCCGGCCTGCCCGGCCGGCTACAGCACCACGGCCGGCGGCTGCGTCAAATGCGGCGACCACTGTGCCAGCTGCCCGGACGGGGCCGGCTCCTGTGCCCTGTGCGACCGGGGGAAGCTGCTGGCCGAGTCGGCCTGTGTCAGTCACTGCCCGGCCCGGTCTTCGCCGGTGGGCGGCCAGTGTGTCACTTGCCATGGCCTGTGCCGGGCCTGCCATGGCCCGGGGGCCGACCAGTGTGCCTCCTGCGACGCGGAGGCCCCCCTGTTGGCCGGGGGGGCCTGCTATGCGGCCTGCCCGGCCGGCTTCTTCCCCCAGGCGGACCTCTGCCTACCCTGCAATGGGACGTGCGCCGCTTGCCGGGGCCCGGCCGCCACCGAGTGCACCTCCTGCACCGGTGCCCTGGCCTGGATGGATGGGGCCTGCCTGGGGGCCTGCCCGGCCGGGTGGTTCCCGGAGAGCCATGTGTGCAAGCGCTGCCCGGCCTCCTGCGACACGTGCACCCAGCCGCTGACCTGCGCCACCTGCCGGCCGGGGGAGCTGCTCGATCTGGCCGGGGCGTGTGTGGCCTCCTGCCCGGCGGGGTCGCACCCGTGCCTCGACTCCGGGCGGTGTCTCGCCTGCCCGGGGGGCTGCGCCGCGTGCGAGTCGGCCAATGGCACATGCACTGCCCAGTGCACCGGCTGTCGGGATGGCTTCGTCCTGTCGGCCGGGCGCTGCGTGCAGGCCTGCCCGGCCGGCGAGTTCGCCCCGCCGGGCCAGGCCTCCTGCGCCCCGTGCCAGGCCTCCTGCAAGACATGCTCCACGGACGGGGGGCTGTGCACCAGCTGCCCGGGCGGCCTGCTGCTGACGAAGGCCGGCACGTGCGTCGGCGCATGCCCGGCCGACTCGTGGCCGGTTGACGGTGCCTGCCTTGCCTGTCCGGATGGCTGCCAGCGGTGCGAGGCTGGTCCCGAGCCGCCCCGCTGCGCGGTGGCCCCCGGCGGTGCGCTCACCTGTCCCGGCATTCCGACATGCGCCCAGTGCGCGCCGGATCTGTGGCTCCTGGCGGGCGCGGCCTGCGTTGAGGCATGCCCCGTCGGGCACTTCCCGGACTGGCAGGCCACGGTGCCGGCATGCGCCGCCTGCCATGGGACTTGCTCGGCAGGCCCCTGCATCGGCCCGGCGGCCGAGGACTGCAGCGGCCCGGGGCCCGGGACCGGGGCCAGACGCCTGGGCCTGGCGATCGGGCTCTCCGTGGGCCTGCTGCTGCTGCTGATTCTGCTGATCCTGCTGGTGCTGTTCTGCGTCCGCCGGCGCGCCGGCAGGGCTGCCACCGGCAAGGACCTGGCGGACGCCGAGGACGCCACCATGCTGAACACCATCGTGGAGCTGGCCCTGCCCGGGGCCATCCTGGTCGGTGTCGACACGGACTTCCGGCCGCTGGACGAGCAACTGGGCGCCGGGACCCAGGCGTCGGTGTATGCGGCGCAGGCGGTCGGGGCCGGCATTGTGGCCCGGCTGGGCTGCCCGGACGTGGTGGCCGTGAAGAAGATGCGGACCGAGGCCATG